GATTAGCCCACATTTAGCCAGTGGGAGATCTTGAGAGGCTAAATTTTAAAAAACACTTATTGAAATAAATTTTTGAACATTTCTGGGTTAATGCATTAAATTTATCTTGTTTTTAAACTTTGCTTGATCTAAGTTTTCAACCTTTGGCTGCAGTGATCATATTAAACTGGGTAGAACCTATTAACAACGCTTTTGTAATTATTAGCTCTCCACAGAGAGTTGAAGAGTGAATTATAAACCGCATACATGTAGGACATCTTCACACAGTTTCAGTCTGCACAATTAAGAGGATTTTTTCCTCAGCATGTTAGATTTCACCTAAATCCTAATGAAGGGTATACAGCATCTTGCATATTTATAATTTTTTGTTCCCACTAGGGGGTGTGCTTTACTACTGTCTTAGCACTAGGTAGGAGAACAGCAACTCCTGTCCCACCTTCCATATGTGCTTCTTACATACTGTGAAAAGTGAGTATCAGGTGCTCTGAATTTAGGTTGGCCACCAAATTGGAAAGTCAGGAATTCAGCTGCCCTGTGAAAATCTAGTTCTTCGCTGTGTTTTGCCTGTAGTGACAGTGCACCTCATAGAGTGCTTGGTACATGGCATGCCCTTGCCAAACGTTAGTTCCCTTTTCCATCATTTGTCTTACACTTCCAAACTAAATTTTCCACCCCTCCCCCCCCCCACAGTCTACAGCAGTCTGCACAATGGCAAGTGTGGTGAAATGGGGGTGGAGTGTGAAGTGACAACTGTGTCAGAGGGCGGTTTGGCCTCTCTTTGAAATTGTAAAAATTCCAAACGCTCATTCTCCTCTGACCTAGCAGTTCCACCCCTGGTTCCTTGACTAGAGACATGTTCACACATATGTACAAGGAGGCCTGTGGTGCTCTTGTGAAAATAGCAAAACAGGGGCCGGCCCGGTGGCGCACTCCTACAGTGCACCACTTGGGAAGCGTGGTGGCGCTCCCGCCGAGGGTTCGGATCCCACATACAGACCGGCATCTCACTGGCTGAGCGAGGTGTGGGAGCAACACCGAGGGTTGCAATCCCGTTGCCGGTCCCGGTCCGGTACGGGCGTGACACTGAGGGTTGCGATCCGTTGCCGGTCACGAAAAAAGACAAAAAAGGAAAAAAAAAAGAAAAGAAAAGAAAATAGCAAAACAGTTGTCGTTCATAAGGACTTGCCTGGAAAATTGGGGTCTTTCCGGACTATGGAATACCAAGCTACAATTAACTAACCAGTTGCAGGTAAATGCTTAGAGTATGTTTGTATAAATAAACACACATAAAACAATACCAGATTTTCTTTAAGTATATAGGCTATTTAGATACATATATATATGTTCATAGAAGAAGGACTAGAAAGAAACACTATCACAGTGACGTGGTTTCCTCTGGGTAGGGGAGGAGAGGACCAGGACAGCTCTAGTGTCCACAGAGGGCTCATAGGTAATGTCTCCATAGTTTTATAAGGAATGTATTCATACGAGTTTGGGTAGCCAAAAATTTAAAATAAACTAATCAAATACGTTTCTATTATTTAGATTTATCATTCCTCTTAATTTTTTGAAAACCTTTTTTAGTGGATTGGTATTTATTTTCCAATCATAATACGCAGTTGCCAACCTAATTATCCTGTTTTATCCTTTAAAAGTGTTTTTCATTCTTTCCTGTTTTGCCCCTTAGCAGCCTAGGAGCCAGGCAGGTAAATGCACTGAATCCAGGCTTCCTTCCTCTTTGAACAGCCAGGAGTGGACTGTTACTTACCTCTATGTGGTTTCCCAGCGTTCCTTCCTGGACTTTTCACACTCTTGTTTTGGGCCTGCATTTAGGATCCTGTGCAGCAGCTGCCTGGTCATGTTATCCTGACAGACACATGGACGTTAACCAGCGTTTAACCTTTCTTCCCTCCTCCCACCACTCAGAAGCTAGGTATTACCAACACTAAGCTGCTACTTAATAATGCATAGAGTGAAAGAAAAAAACGGGAGAGAGAAACAATACTGAAACATTTGTCTGAATTTTTTTAGAGCAGGTTTTCTCAACCTCGGCACTGTTGACATTTTGGTCCAGATAATTCTTTGTTGTGAGAACTGTCTTGTGCATTGCAGGATGGCAGCAGCATCCCTCGCCTCTGCCCACTAGATGTCTATAGCAGCCCCCTCCTTATGACACCAAAAATGTCTTCAGACATTGCCAATTGTCCCTTTGTGAGCAGAATAGCCCCCAGTTGAAATCAACTGCTCTAGACAAACCGAGAACAAAGCAGTTGTTCTAAATTACCCACTTGAATTCTTTTTACTTTAAACATCTCTGTTCTGCCTACCAGTGACAGCAACAGTGGTCCGTTTACAGCAAAAGGGATTTTACATCTTGGTGGTATTTCAAGATTCTTTACCCTCCTTCTAATATTTCTGTGCAGCTCTGAAAGCAAATCCAAACCTGAGGCTCCCGGCAGCTGGCCTGGTTAAGGTACCAGGCCACGGTTACATCACCTAAGCTCCCCAAGGAAAATACACCTGTGACGCTTCACTAATTGGTTTCTCCTGTTACTGGATGTGGGGAGACAGATGGCAGCAGTGGGTGGGCAGGAAAGGGCATTTTCTCAGCCAGTGGCATTTTGAAACTTTGTGGGTTTTTAAAATATATATATTTATGTATATATATGTATATATTTTTCCCATTTCCAACATTTGAAAAATGGGAAATATAGGGGCAGGCCCGGTGGCGCACTGCTATAGTGCGCCGCTTGGGAAGCGCGGCGGCGCTCCCACCAAGAGTTCGGATCCCACATGCAGACCGGTTCCCGCTCACTGGCTGAGTGAGGCGCGGGAGCAACACCGAGGGTTGCGATCCTGTTGCCGGTCCCGGTCCGGTACAGGGGCGACACTGAGGGTTGCGATCCGTTGCCGGACATGGAAAAAGACAAAAAAAAAAAAAAATGGGAAATATAAAGAAGAAAATAAAATCAGCAATAGCAATCTAATGGTAACAGTAGAGAGCTATCAGGGGTAGCAGACTACTCAGTTTCCTTTTGGAAAAACTGGAAGATCCTGAAGCCAGAGCTCCTGTTTCTGCCCAGTGGCACCATCTGGACCTTCCCCTTTCCAGGAGGCAGTGGGCTCAGGAGTTTGTGCAGCCCCTGTCCCTCCCTGGTCTCTCTTGACGGACGTGGCAGTTACTCTGCCTGCCTCACTCTTTCCCTGTCATGTTTCTCTTGCGTCTGCTTCTTCAGCTCTGGAGCTGGACTGTCCTGTGGACTTCACTCTGCAGCACAGCTCTCCCAGCTGCAAAAGGGAATCATGAGGGGCTCCTTCTGGAGTGATTACATGGGGCAGTGCCTGCAAAACTGCCACAGTGCCTCGCACACTGTCAGTGCCCAATTCAAAAGAATCCATTTAAAATATGTAGCCACGCCATGTAATGTAGCAACCCCTGATATAGGGCCTTCCAGGCTTTTTGTAAGTAGTACATATTTTTTATACACATGTCCCCAGGATCTTGAGAACAAGTTGCACATTTTCATGGTTTCCTAGTATTTTGCTGAGTTAATGTGCCATCACTTATTTACACCAGGACCTACAGTTGGACACTTAGACTACTTTTACTGTTTTGCTATCATAAGTACTATTAAGATAACCTCCATACGTTCATGTTTGCACATTATTTGTATAGGATTTCCTCAGCAGTACTGACTCTTAAACTGGTGTGTCCCTAACCACAGGCTGAAGAAACAACCTAAAACAACATATATTATCACAAATATGGGAGGATTTCTTTAGATCCTCCCGTTTTGTGGTTTAAAAAAAAAAAATTATAGATTGGGTTATTCAGCTCTTCCCCCCTGCCCAAAGACAAATATCAGTTAATGTCAGTGCTTCAGAAAGCTGCCCATGTTTATCCTATGTGTTGTGGGGGTGCAGGGCCTGAGTGCTCTTTCAGGACATATAACTAAGCTATTTAAGAACTATCACGTGGCGGGGCATGTGTTAGCCCATCAGATAGCCTTGCTGAGAGACTCACTTGAAGTAATTTGAGTGATAGGCTGTGCATACGGTATGGCTTCGTATTAACCGGAACTGAGATCACCCTGGGGACATAGGGGTGATGGGGGAATCTGCCCAGCCCAGCTCCTTCCTAGTGCCTGGTCATGGAGGATGTGGCTGGGCATCTCTTGGATCAAGGGCCACACCTAGTCTTGGGTCAGGAAGGGCACACAGGACGCCGTCCTTTCATTGGGCCTGTGGAAGAGACATGTTTCAAATATTTTTTTGAGGGATGATCCATGTGAAAGGATTTCAGCTTTTTAAATACCTTGCCTGTACTATCTTTTTTTATTTTTCCACTGTTAAAGTCTTATTTTCTATTTCTTTCTCTAGTGGTAAGATAGAGAGAAGGAAGACGGAGGTAGCTTGGGTCTCCTAGAGATTATTCAAATAGTAATAGCAAACAGCCCTGTGAAGTGGCTGCTGGCCTTGGGGAGCACAGGCCCCTGTCGAAAGGAGCTCAGGGGGAAAGTGTGATGTGTACGGGAGGGCTCCCATCAGTAGCCGAGAAGGACGGCAGGTACAAGACGTGTGCCCAGGTGACAGGGCAAAGCTCAACCACTGGTGGGAAGTGAGCAGGCGAGGATAATCTTGTCCTGTCCTCTCAGCTGCTTGTCAGGTCAAATCCAAGGAAGGTGGTGAGTCTCTAGTTTGCTGGTCCCCAAGAGACTGATGGAGTTTTGCTGGAACCCAACAGCTTGCTCAGAGAATAGGAAAATAGGCTGTTGGGTGTGTCACTCTTGGAGGACTCATACCACCAGTAGCCCTCCCTCCCCTGATCACCCTCGTGCCTTTTTCTTGTCACCTCCTCCTAAGTCCATACACATCTTCAGTCTCCTTTTCTTGCACCTCAAAAATGCCACTTGAAAGGGGTGATAGAAAGTTCTCAGGACAAAAGGTACCACAGAAATTTCCATTTTAACGAGAATGTCCCTGTGCCTCTTTACTAACAGAAAACTTGGAATATAACGTGGAGCCTCAAGAAATCTCGCACCCTGATGTCGGACGCTATTTCTCAGAGTTTACTGGCACTCACTACATCCCAAACGCAGAGCTAGAAATTCGATATCCAGAGGATCTGGAGTTTGTCTATGAAACGGTGCAGAATATTTACAGTGCAAAGAAAGAGAGTGTAGACGAGTAGAGCCGAGTAGAGGCCATTGTACCTTTGCTGCTGCTGCTGTCTTCCAGGAGAACAGGGTTCCGGAAGAAGACGTCTGCACGGATCCCTCTGGATTCACACCACCAGGAAAGCCACTTAACCAGTAGTGCTGGTTGCCTCCTACTCAGTTTAAATAACGTGTGCTCTCCTCCAGCTGCAAAGACAATGTTGCTCTCCGCCTACACTAGTGAATTAATTTGAAAGGCACTGTGTTCAGTGGCATGGCTTGTATGCTTGTCCTGTGGTGACAGTTAGTGACATTCTGTCTTCATGAGGTCTCACAGTCGACACACTCTTATAATCATCCTTTTTATTCACTTTCCATTCTCATGTCTGTCTGCATTTGTCTCAGAGCATTTCATTTGTTGGATACATGAGGTTATACATTTGCAATAATTTCTGATTTCTCAACGGAACATGTGCAGTCCTAAGTCAGGATTGTTGGTGTTTTCACCCTGAATTTAGTCGCATATTCAGAGGTGAAGTTGTACTCTATCTTGGCAGCATCGTGGAGATGGAGATAGTAACAAGCTAATGGTAATTAGAATCTTTTGAACTTATTCTTTTCTAGTATATGAAACAGAGATTTCACGTGTTTGTCCTTTTTTTAATTTAAATTGGGAGAATAACATAGTTATTCTTTCAAATTCCTCTTTTGGATTTATGCACATCTCTACAAATCCTTAGTTTTCTATTTTATTACATAAAATTCTTTAAGAAAATGCATAATGGCCTTTGTGAATGGGTTTTTCCACATTCATCTACTATTTCTCCCTCTAAAATGACTACTTTTTTATTTTAAAAATCTGCTCCAGTATCATGAGTAGATCTTAAATCAATGATGGATTCTTTTTGTAGTGAGATTTACAAATCCGATGTTAAAATGTTTGCTCTTAGAAATCACACTTCATGGTCTCCGAAGACCAAACAAATGAAGTTTCACTTTTGTAATCAGAAAAAAAAGAAGAAATAATGACCTTAATCTTTTTTTTTTAAAGAAGAGGTTTCACGCCCCTCGTCATTCCTTCAGATCACTTCAAGACTTTTTAGAATGTGGTGGGGTAGAAACAAATAGAATGTTTTTAATTCTAAGAGTGTTGGATTAGTGGGAAAGGAGGCATGGGAGTGATCTGCCTTCCCAAGCCACCAGTGCCCTGGAGGCCCCAGGATGAAGCCTGTTCCCAAGCCTCACAGGGAAGCCCAGCATTGTATTCAGACACCACTGGCTCCTTTTCCATGTCCTCAGTAACTGAGCGTGAAAGGTACCAAGTCTTTATGCAGCTCTGGAACTCCCACCACTCTCGACCTGCCAGTTCTCCAGCAAGATAATCTTGTAATTATCAGTAGAAGCTACCTTCTGGAGTTAGGACTGGGTTACTTTGCTCTCTACCTTTCAAGTAATACAGTTGCCATAGTGAGTGAGGCTGTAGGGGACTGTGAACCAGGCAGCCTCGAGGCCTGTCTGTCATTGCATGCAGTATTCTCACACCATGCTGAATGACTACTTCATATTTACCCTTTGGAAACCCTGGCATGACCGAGGTTTGGGGAAGCCACCTGAGACCACTTCATAGCAAGTGAAGGCTATTAAGCAGTTATTAGAGAGAGATGGGGACTTGGCCAGCTGGTTCCTTCCAGCCTATGTTAGCTATTGTCCAGTGTCCATGTTCCTCATCAGTCAAATCCAAAGTCAGAAAGATTTGAACTTGCATTTGAAAATGTGACCACTCACAGCACCTAACCTGCCTGAGGTGGGGGGAATTTTACACTACGCTCATTTAAAGGTGAAAATTAGATAATACGGAATTAATGAGATGGATTACGAAGAAACTGTGGAGCATGCCAAGAGTTATAATAGTTGGGTTTTTGGTTTGATTTCCTTTTTTCTTAGAGTAACATCAAAGCCAAGGAAGATGGTTTTACCTTTACTGACCCAATTGTAAATATGTATCTAGACTTTTTAAATGTGTTTCTTCATGAATGCTTCATTTGGCTCCAGGAAGCCTGTATCACCTGTGTAAGTTGGTATTTGGGCACTTTATATTTTTCTAAAAATGTGTTTTGGATCCTGTACTCTAATAAATCATAAGTTTCTTTTTAAAATTTTTTCCAAAAGTTTTCTCCATTTTAAAAAGCCCAGTTATAGAAGTAGAACTTTCACAATGTTAAAATATCAAATACTTGGGTATAGTAACTTCTCTCTTCAAGTGAATGCCAAGATTTTTTTGTACAATGATTAGTAAATGGAACTTATCCAGAGAAACCACACAAATGGCCTGCCCAATTTCGTTTCAAACAAAAAACCCAACCATGACAAGAGTAGGTCTGCCACCTCTCCTAATCTAAATATGAAACATTTGCTCTATTGAATTTTTCTTAACATTGGTGAGTGAACAGGGTACCTTTATACTATGATTTCTGTGCCAAACATTAATTTTATAAGATTACTAATAATCTTTGTATCTGGTTGTCATTGCAAAGATCGCACCTTTTTAATTATGTGAAGATACATGTTATGAAACGAGAACTATGAAACGAGATGCCTTGAGGGAAAACCAGGTTCTTGGTATGTTTTGTTACTATTGACTTGAGTAGCCCCGCTGCATACAGTGTGTCCAAAATGTCCTTCAGAGCACTGATTCTGTCATGGTACCATATATATGCTATATGGGGGAAAAGGTTATGGGTAAATGAAGTCAGTTTCCTGTAGTCTCAAAACCTTAATATACTGCTGTGCATTGTGACTTTCCAAGAGGAAAGTACAGTGTGCCCTGGACCCTAGAACTTCCCTCCCCCTGACACAGACGCACCGTCCATAGGGACCAGTGTTTGCAGACATACTTTGAGAAACACTGTCTCAGTGAGACATCAGTTATGTCCAAAACTAGTCTACCTGAATCAGACCAGTTTTGCCAAGCCTCGTGTTTGCAAACATTATCCACCTAATCAGATTTTGAAAGGCTGGCTTTCTGCCCGACACTCATAGTAGATCTCCATTATAAGTGCATGTACACAGCAAAGTTGTTTTATTGAGAACAACAAAAAGTTGATTAATTGAACGGTACTGTTGCTAACTCAGATTTACATTTTACACTATTGACTTAAAGTCCTGTTCTAATTTTAAAATGTTTTGGTCTTTCTTAACTTATTAAATTGAGCCAAGCTGCCATGTTCCAGGCTTTCATTTGCTACCGTCGGGTCCCCTTGCTATATAGGTGTTTGTTGTTTACCTTAGTCCATACTGCAAGTAAGTGAAATTGGACTACCAGCAAATTTTTAATTTAAAAGTATCTATGGCTGTAATAATCAAGATGTAGCTCTTCATGATTTTTGTTTATTTTATCTTCCCCGGTTTTTCTTTTGTGTGTGTGTATGTGGGTGAATTAATTTGTTTATTTTTATTTATTTATTTTTTAATGTGTTGTTGAATTCAGTTTGTTAATATTTTATTGAGGATTTTCACATCTGTGTTCATTAGGGATATTGGTCTGTTTTTTTTTTTTTTTTTTTTTTTTTTTTTTTTTTTTTTTTTTTTTGGAGGGAAGAAGATTCTTTTCACCTGGACAAAATGTAGAATTTAGCTCTGTGATGATTTATTTCGGGGGTGGGGGGACATTAGTGGCTGTATTGTATGTATTATGTTGTATTATGTGCTAACTGAGCCAGGCACTGGCCTAAACTCTGTAATCCTCCCAGCAACCCTATAAAGCAGGGCCAGATAGTAAATATTTTAGGCTTTGTGGGCTACATACAGTCTCTGTCGCGTGTCCTTTGTTTTTAAAAATGTAAAGAACATTCTTGGCTTAAGGGCTGTACACAAAGTCTGCAGGCTGGATTAGGCCTGTGGGCCGTAGCTCACTGACCTCTGCTAAGGTGTAGGCAGGCCTAGGTCAGCACTCCACTGCAGATGGGGAAATCAGCTCATATGTTTGTAGGAGGGTGGGAAGCCAGCATGTGGAACCTAGGTGGTCCTTGAGCCTCCTGGGACCACTGAGTGCCAGCTCTTTACAACCACACTATCGAGAGTGTAAGCAACTACCTCGCCGTGTTTTTACCTTTGTCTTGCAGCAACTTTAACCTTTAACACTTCAATTCTGAAAAGTTAGAGTCTTGAAGATAAGGGACATTCCTTCAATAAACAAAATTATGTGCAATTATAGAACAAATGTATTATGGCCACTTAGCAATGATTGTATTAGGGTAATGCTAGTTCTGTAATAAATAGACCCAAAAAGATGCTATGGCTCTAACACAGGAGAGCTTTCTTGCTGACATAATACTGGGCAGGGGAACGGGCTGGCAAGGTAGCCCTCATGCTGTCAATTAGAGACCCAGGCTTACTGAGGATGTGGCTTCCAAGAGCACCCTGGGGCCATTTCCTGCTGTCCAAGCTGAAGTAAGCGAGTGTGGAGGGACATGTCCGGGAGGTTTCCACGAGTCTGGGCTGGAGAGGCACTTCCTGCGTCTTCTCACTCCGCATGGGAGTCACGTTCCAGTGGACAGGAGGGAAGGAAACGTGGGTAGCAGCCACAGGCCGCTGCCGCACACACACTGTGGTGTGCTCTGCCCACGGCAGGAGACTGCCTAAGTCGGGCTCTCCGTGGTGACAAGCACTGTCAGTCTCTGGCTTGGTTGCCCCGCCACAGTGGCATAGCAGACGGGGGTACCCCTCACAGCTCATGCTGCTATTGTAAATTCAGTCCCCATAGCAGATGGCTGTGGGAGGGAAGGAGAGGAGGTCTCATGGGGCAGGTCACATCCCTTATCTCTGCCTCAAAAGCCAGGCTCAAGTCACGGCCACACCCTAACTCCACAGGAGGCTGAGAGAGCTGCCTGTGGGCCCAGCCCAGGAGGAAGGTGAAAGATTGGGTAGACACCATAGTGTCCTTCCCAGTCCCTGCATCCTACTCTGTTCTCTGCAGGCCATGTGAGTTCTCCCCATCAGCCCAGTGTGACTCCGTGGGGACCTGGGACCAATGAACTAAAAGCAGTTATCTGACCTCCACTCCTCAATTCCAGTTCACTAGAGACGGGGACAACTGCATTCAAAACTCCCGTTTCCAAAAGAATGAGACAGACGTCACTGGTCAGCAGTGATGAAGGCCTGCTGGGAGGCCTTTTGAAGACCCCTTGCCCTGCATGTGGGGGACTCACCATCTTCAGTAAACTCTGACTGCCCTCTGAGAGGTTCTTTCTCAAGTCTAATCTTCCTGGTCTCAGCACAAGTGGGTGTTGGGGGCGCATCCTCCCTGGGAGCTACAAAATTTTCGTGAACTGCTTCCTGCCTAGTGCAAGTTTGGGGACCAGTTCAAGACTTTCGTTACTGATTTTTACAATAAGCATGTGGTTCCTCTGGCAATGGTTCCCTCAAAAACTTCATAGGCTGCTGACTAACCCATTTGGGCCAGTAATCATACCCAAAGTTCATTTCCAGAACCTTCCAGGCTGCTCTAGTCCCTCATGCTGCTCTCTCCCCCTGCCTTAATGGCGGCCGCCTTAACCTGATAGAAACCAAAGCTGAGTCTTATTGTTGTTTAACCAAAAAATGTTTAAGGGGCCTCTGCTGCTCAGTGATTTTCATTCTCATCTCTTGCTGGTGTGCAGAAGCAGTTGCCGTTTTCAACAGAGGGGGCGTGGGGTTTCTGACTCTCGTCTCTTCCCATTTTAGTTGTCAAACGAGCACATTTTTGCCTGACCTCCTATCTTTTTTCTCATAAGCAGCAAAAAGCAACCAACACAGACTGTGTTCTATCTCTTTGGCTACTTACTACCTAGACCAGCTACAAAGCCAGCGGTTCCTCCCTGCAAATTGTAATTGTCCACATTACCAGGTATTACCCCGAGCACAGCTCTCAACCTCCCAGCCTGCTACTGGGGTTCCCTTGTCTCCTGACTACTAAGCTAACGCCATATAGTTTAGGTGTTTGTCAGTTTTTTAGTGGTTCTATGTTTTTTCTTGTTTAAAGTTGGCGAATGTTTCCATAGGAAGTTCTCCTTCCTGTTTGGCTGTGCAGAAGGACTAAGGACAGTGATGTCACGTCTCTTTGGGAGTGGAAAGAGCTACAACAAGTTGTTTAGTGAACTTAGGAAAGGAAGTTGTGCAGAATACAGAAAAGAAATTTTGGGAGAATGAGCTGGACACTGCATTATAGAATTCTTGCATAGTTAGAATTTCCAGCTGCTTCTCTTCAAATGACAGAATTCTTAATGGAAATTTTCATATTCAAGTCATTGAATTTGGGGGAAACTAGACAGCACTTTGAATGAAAGTTATTGTTTTTCTCCAAAACACTGTAATGTCAAGGTTTTAGGATTATTTAATAACCTACCATTTATTATAGGATGGTTTTCTCAGTTGTGTCTGTTGCTGTGCAAAGAGCTGTACACACAGTGTCATGTACAATCTTCTACCCCAGGATTTCTCAACCTGTTTTTAGTATGGCTCCCATACAGGAGCATTTTTAGACTACTTTTCCTTTTTAGACTTACTATCTCCCCCCATAAAAACCTTTTTTTAATTGAGGTGGAATTTATATAACACAAAAATTAACCACTTTAAAGTATATAAATCAGTGGCATTTAGTCCATGCACAATGTCATGAAAACACTACCTCTACCTAGTTCCAAAACATTTTCATCATTCCCAGAATGAAACTCTGTACCCATTAAGCAGTCACTCCCCAGTCTCCTCTCTTTCAGCCCCTGCAACCACTAATCTATTTTATCTCTATGGATTTGTCTGTTCTGGACATTTTACACAAATAGAATCATACAATATGTGGTCTTTCTCATCTTGTTTCTTTCACTTAGCGTATTTTCAAGGTTCATCCTCTTTGTAGCATGTATCAGCACATCATTGCTTTTTATGGCCAAGTAACATTCCATTTATGGGCATAGCACATTTTCTTTATCCATTCAGCTATTGGTGGACATTAAGGTTATTTCCACCTTTTAGCTATTGTGAACAGTGCTGCTATGAACTTCCTATTAATTTTTTTTTTTTCTGGCATCTGGCCTGTACAGGGATCTGAATCCTTGACCTTGTTGTTATAACACCACACTCTAACAAACTGAGCTAATTGGCCGTCCCCCCCCACCAATGAAATTTTTAATACCACAGATAAACTGTATATCTGTTTGTATATTTGTATATCTATGCTGTATACCTTAAGAGTAATATTTTTTTATTCCCCCCAAGAACAAACTCTTGCCCCTTGGGGGCAATCTCGCTGCATTGAGAATACAAGCCCCACCTGGAAGGTTAGCATTGGGCACAGCTGCTGTCTGTCCCTTCTTCTGATTGACAGTTGGTGTCTTGTCTTTGAGTGTCTTTAATGTTCCCACCCTTCTTTCTGCCAGGAACTGTAGTGAATACAGAATTACATTTCTGTCACCTGTAAGGTGACATAGGTATATATTCTAAAGACCTTTTCTGGTATGCATTGCGTAATCTTCTTTGCTTAGTATATTCACCCACCCCAGATCTCCTGAAATCTGCTACTTAAAGAAAAAAATACCCTGATTAGTTTGAGAGTTGTCTTTTATAAAAGTGGAATAAAAGAAAGTGCAGTTGCAAGACTTTCTGGGTAACGACTACCTTTGAACAAAACTACTTCCAAAATAGTTTCCACAAGGTTAGAGAATTCGAAAGCTTAAAGGCCCCTTAACAATCAACTGCTAGGCCGTCCACTTCTGATATTTTAAAAATAAAAATAAAGAGGCCCATAGAGGTTAAGTGACCTTGATTTGGTCAAATGTCACAGAGCTGGGACTTGAGCCTGGGCCCTTGGATTTGACCACAGTGATATTTCTCCTGCCTCCAAATTGCTTCCTCTCTAGGGTTTTCTTGTCCTACAGAAAACATCTTGCTAATAATATCATCCCTTATTATTTGGGATTCAAATCCTTGTTATTTCTTTATCACTAACTGGACTGTTGCAACTTCCCGGCCATCTTCAACCATTCTCTTATTTCAGTCACATTTACTTGGTTGAAGGAAGACGACGAAGTGCTGTCCCTCGCCGTCTCAGCAATTTGTGCTCATGAAGTTTGGGAAAACCCTATTCCAAGCCTACAAAGACTTTTTAAAGGAAGTTGCTTCTGAAAATATGATTTTCTCTAAAGCAGGGATTGGCAGATTTTTTTCTATGTAGGGCCAAATAGTACATA